TTCCCCAACACATGTGTCTCCTGAGATTCCAAGTGCCCAGGCATTGCCACTCCTCTCTCAGATCCCCATCTAGGTTACTGCTTCCTCTCTACAGCAGAAATCTTAGCCTGGCCTGAACTAGGAGGTGAACTGCAGAGAGAGCCCCACCAGGCAGGGCACTGGTAGAGTTGAAGGAGAGGCTGCCCACATCTTCCTGGGAACCATCAGCTCAGCTCCAGGTCAGTCCCCTCTGTGTGTTACTAGGATGTTGAGGTCCCTCCTGCATTTGGGGATTGAGAAAGTACATGCATCCATTCTGCCTGACTCTGCTCCTACTGAAGAAAGGGCCATTTTGCTGACCCGCAGTGGCACTACTTAGGTTTTATAGGGCTCTGCAGCAAACCCCTTTTTTACAAAGACGGATTCACAGAAGTCTTGGGGCCAACTGCAGTGGGCTTAGTGCAGAGCTAATTTTATGAGCACCCCAGGTCTCCTGCTGGCATTCCCTAGAGTCCAGGACTATGGCCATATCTCAGACATCTTTACCATCATATATCTCTTGGGTTGGTCCCAGGGAGGTGATGGACCTTGAAGGGGCCCAGATGCCTGTGGCCAAGGAAGCCAGCAGAGTTTTGGATCCCAGAGGTGACCGTAACTGGTTCCAGTCTTGTCCTGCAGCGCCCCCTCCTGGAGGAAAGCATCACTTCGTAGGATGCTGTCTTTCCAAATCTCAGGATCTTCTTTGGGTCAAAAAGTACGTTTTTCCAAGTCAGTGACAATGTAGTTAACTTTTCCTCTCTGTTACAGCAACCAGAAGAGAACTTCCAAAATACCTGTTGCTTATTTTCCAACCCCCTCCAAATCTAGGCCTCATACCCAGGCAATAGCGGCAGTCTCCTCACCTTCCTGTCCCCAGTGTCTCTCCCTTTTTCATTCTCTCTTTCACAGTGCTGCCCAAGCAACCTCTCTAAAATATCAGGCCAAGATCCCTCCTTGCCTACACCGCTCCTCATCACTCTGAGACTCACCCAGCCTGGTCTCCTGATGGCCATGCCTCTGCTTCAGCCAGGTGGCCCTTCTGCATGGAGCTGCCATCTTCCACACTAGCAAGGCTTCATCCCTGGCGTATCTTCTGCCTAAAAGGCCACTCAAACTGCTTCCCTAGGCCTAGTGACAGTCACCCCCACCACCTGCGGTCCCACAGTCTTGGTCCTCAGCTTTTCTGTGGCATGTGTTTCCTTGCATCATGCTGCTTCAGCATTTCCCCCTTAGAGTAAGCTTCTAGAAGCAATAGTGGTAACTTGTCCCTTTCTCTGGCTACTGTTAGCCACTCTGCTTAGACAAGTCTGTCAGGTAATAGGCCTCAGGAAATGTAGACTGGTTCTTCTATGGTTACTGAATATTTTCTATGTCATCTATTGGAAGATAGGACAGAGCTTCATATCATTTCTGTCCTGGTCCATACCTCCAATCCTAGAGATCACACAGAGAAAGCTGATGCTCAGCCTTCTTGAGTCAGGCCTTAGCCAGAAAGCTCCCAGGTCCACAAATCTGCAGGGCTCAGGAAAGAGCAGGGCCTCTCTGGGGCCCAGGGTGTGGTCTCATGCAAGGCCACTCCTTTCTAGGCCTCACCCATCAAGTGAGGGAGGCCAAGCTCGGTTATCTTGAAGGGCCCTCTACCTCTGAAAAATCCTGGAGAATCCATGCTAATCCTTATGGACAATATTCAGTCTGCATGATCCCTGTGAATAGCATTTCCTGAAGTGGTCAAATTACCAGGTAAAAGTGTGGGCAGAAAGAATAAATGCCCTGACCCCCAGGCTTGCCCTGTGCCCTTGTCATGGGGCCAGTGAGCATCCAAGCAACACCTAATGAAGGGAGCAGCCTGGGGTGATGCCCATTTTCTCCCTTCCAGTGACCTTGTCAGGCAAATATTCCAAGGGTCCCACATATGTCTCTGGGGCTCTGGACTTTGGATGGCCACAGTTTTTCAGATCCTTACCTGTCATATAGCTTCTTTGGCTGCCCACCCGATGTCCTTTTATTATTATTTTATTATTATTATTATTATTTATGCCTACAGCACCTGGTCTTCCTACGTGGTCTCCCATCCAAGTATTAGCCAGGCCTGACCCTGCTTAGCTTCCAAGATCAGACAACGGGCTTGTTCAGGGTGGCATGGCCGTAGACCATGGACTGTGGCTCCACTGGGGTGCGAACCCAGGACTTTCTGCGTGTAAAGCAGACATGCTAACCACTACACTATGGAACCACATCCTCCACCTGATCTTATCTTGATATCTTTTATTGGGGTCCTCTGCTAGGTGGATATGATGCAATGACACAGGCCCTTGGGGAGTTCACAGTCTAGTCCTGAAGACAGTTATGACCCACAAGGACAGTAGTATGTGGATGCTACAACGCAGGGCAACCCAGTGTCGTCTGGCTCCGCAGGAAGCAAGGTACCACCCGAGTTTTCCAGGGTTTGTGTACACTAGCCAGGTGAAGGAGTGAAGGGAAAAAGGCATTTTAGGCAGGGGAAGCCCCACATGCAGAGAGTGAAGGTAAGAAAAGGTGTGACTGCTCAGGGAATGACAGGAAACCACTGAGAAGTTATAAGGTGCTGGGGTTAGAGGGGCAGCAACACCATCAGGGGTTTGGGTTTGTGTGTAGCAGGGTCACCGGCTTTGATGCCCATTTAGCTTGCAGGAGTCAACAAGCAAAGAACAGAGTGGGGTCTGGGGTGACACCCAGGATTTTGGCTTGAAAAATTGTGCAGATGAGATACAAGAGGAAAAGCAGGTTGGAGGGAGGAGAAATTATTCATTTAATTTGAAATTCTCTGTGTTTGAGGTATCTGAGGGTTATGCAAGAGATCCAGGAGTCAGCAGGATATGAAGTTTTCCAAAATGGCCAGCACTGGCCACCCCTTCCCAGAAACCCCTGAGGGTGAGAAGCAGCATTCATCTGGTGGCTTGGCCACAGGGCTCCAGGGAAACCATCCACCTCCACCACCACCCCCTGCCTGCCAGGAAAAAGGCACCAATGCCTCTGTCACCAGGGGCCACTCTAGGAGCAAATTTTGGTCCAGCTGTGGTCTAACAATAAGTGGAAAGCATCCCAAGGTTGCCCATGGGGCAGGCAAATGAACTCTGCCACCTCAGAGGTGGGGATCCCAAGTGACTTCAAGTTGATCCCCTTGAAGTTAGACAAATGCAGACCTCTTCCCTGAAACACAGGGAGCAAGGCCAAGCACCTGCATCCCATGACCTGAGAGTGTTCCTTTCTCTGTCCCAAATTCCTCATCACCTCCCTCTCTGTCCCCACTGTTATCTTGTCTGAACTTCAGGTTCATCTGTGGAGCTTCTAAATGCACGGAACCAGGCTCCACCCCTGCAGATTGATTCAGTTAGATCTGAGGTAATGCCCAGGAATTTATATTTTTGTCAAGTTTCTGGGCAAGCCAAATAACCAGCTTTAAACCCTGCACTGGAGAATCCTCCACTCTTCCTCCCAGCCTCTCCCTCTTCAGACAACTTATTTGGGGAGTCAAAGTCTGAGAAAAGGAAAAATGTTTATTTTCAGCAAGTCCAAGGTCCTAAGTGGGGACTGGAGCCAAATTCCCTCCACCTGAGGGCCTAAGCCCATAGACTCCTGCTCTGGTTCAGGTTTGGGAGGAGGGGAGACACTGGTGGGGTGTGACAGTCACTTGTACTGAGGAGAGAGTGGGGGTACCAGTGGGGCAGCACAGACACTTAACATCTTGTCAATGTCTACCTGAGTTGACTTATCCACCTCAGCCTTGAGGCACCCACTGATCCCCAAGCTGGACAAACCCCTAGGCTCCTCTCCAGCCTCCTCTCCCTGTGGAACCATAGCATGGGTGGAGGGCACAAACATATTGGGGCTGGGCAAAGTGAGGCCTGAACCCAGCTCACCTGCCACAGGCAACAAATTCGACAGTTGCTCCACACCTGCCTCTTCAGGGACCAGAGTCAGCTCCCACTCAGGTTCCACCTCGGCCTCAGCCTCCCTGTTCTCCTCCCCTGCCTGGTTCAGCTCAGGGTTGCAATAGTTGATATACTGGTACAGGGGCCGTAGGCGCTGGGCCTTTCCTGCAAACACCCAAGGCAGAGTAGGAGCTAGAGTGCCAAGCCGTGCCATGTCAGGGGTCCAGCAGGCAGAAAAAAAAGGGATGGTCCAGGGACTACCACTCACGCTCTAGCCCCAAGGTCTCTGAGGGTGTAGACACTGTGCTGACCACAGCTGGGATCACTGGGGCCCCCAGACTCTTGCGCTTCTTGGCTTTTTTGTGCTGTTTGGCAGACGGTGAGGGCTCACTCTGACTACTCTCCAGGTCCTCCTTCTGCAGCAGCAGCCCCTGTTGCAGCTCAGCTTCAGCCCTAGGATGAGCTTGGTGGCTAGGTCCTGGGAGGCTGTGGGACAGGAGGCTTAAGGAAGGAGCCACCAGCCTTGGCTCCTGTGTTCTGAGCCTAGGGAATATCCCTGCATGCCTACCACCTTGGGCCCAGATTCTTGTCCCTTTCCTGGTCAGTGAGGCGCCAGGCTGGTCAGGGACTGAAAGCTCATGTGAGCTCAGTCCCTTACAAGGCCTGAGACTCACTCTGGATGCTTCCTACCAGGGCTCTTTAGGGACAGAAGGAGTGAGAAGTGATGGTGGTGGCAAGGGATTAGAATGCACCCTACAGGAGTGCTGGATTTAGGAATCTTGGGTGTGAGCCCTCCCCTACCCCCAGCCCTGCAGCTCCTTCCCTCTGAAAGCCCCCTCACTTGACTGGCTTCCTCTTTGGACCATGACTGGACCTCACGATGGAGGCCACAGGCCTGGAGCTTCTCTCCTCCACTGCCTCCACCTCTGGCTTGAGCCTTTCTTCCTCCAGCTTGAGTCGTTCCTCCTGGAGCTCTGTCTCTGCGACTAGTCCTACTGGACACTTGTCTTCACCCTGGATCCCACAGGCCTCATGGGCTGGCACCAGGCACTGATTTGCCATCACTGGACACTAGAGGTGACATATAGGTAACAACTGGTCACCATAGCCGGGCAAAGGATACAGGTATCAGTCATTAGACACCCGACATTAAATACCAAATGCGGATGAAGAGCACCAGCCCATGCCCCTGCCCGCCTGTGGAGCTTGTCCTGGCAGTTACTGGGTCGACGCACACTTTGGCCTGCTAGAGCGCCGCGGCCAAGAGGTTGAAGGCTAGACGGCCTGACGGTCATCTCGGAGCTCTGAGAGCAGCCACTGGTCGCCTCCACGAGCTGTGCGGGCCCCTCGGCCGACCCTTCTTGGGGCCCTGGTCGCCTCTCAGCCCCTGCTGAGGCCATGGCTGCGCGGGGTCAGCGCATTCTCAAAGGATGCTGGGGCGGGGAGGAGTGAGACGGGCCTCAAGGGACTGGACAGGTGGACCCTTCGCTGACCGGGAAAACTGGCCGGGAAGCGAGGGTTGCAGTGGACAGGGCGACTGGCGACCGCTCGCCGCACCCTCAGCTGAAACTACAAGCCCCAGAAGACTTTGCGCCAGGGAGCATTGGCCCCGACCTCAGAGGCGGAAACCATTGTTGCCTGGCAACAGCAAACTCGTCAGGTGGCGGCAGCAGGCGGCCAAAAACTGCTCTGGTGAGCCCCCTGCCTGGGTGTTGACGGGGAGGGGCCGTGAACGGGACAGGGAAGTGGGCTAGGAGCGGAGGTACCTAGTGCAGGTTTGGGACCCGGAATGGAGGGCACCGCCGGGGTCAAGGTCCGGGTTCAGGGAGGAGGCATGGGGCTGAGGAAGGAGGTCCGGGACCCGAGATGCTCAGCGCGGCAGACTTCGGTGCACTGTTGCAGGGCGACGACGGCGGCATGTGCGAAGGCCCGTCCCGCATCTCGGGGCCCATCCCCCCAGACCCTACGCTCTGCCCTGACTACTACCGGCGGCCGGCCTCGGGTGAGTTGGTGGGTGCCGCGGCTGAGTGAGGCCTGAGCGAGGCTCGGGTCCGCTCCACCACTGAACCCCGCACTCCACCCTGTCCATCCCCTCAGCCCAAGGACGTCTTGAGGGAAATGCGCTGAAGCTAGACCTGCTGACCTCGGACCCGGACCTGGACGCCACACCACCTCGTGGTCCCCGCATCCGTCCTGGAGCTGAAAAGATCTTGGAGCGTGGCCGGCGCGGCATGGGGGTCATGCTGATGCAACTTGGGGGTATCTCCTTAGGCCCAGGGGCCTCTCCCAAGAGTAAGTTCTGGGCAGAAGGAGCAGCAAGGCAAATCTGAGGTCAAAAGCTGAGATCAAAAGCTGCTGCTCCTCTTGCCCTGACCTGGGATCAGGCTATGCCTCTCCGAGTGTCCGTTTCTACAACTATAGGAGGGTAAAATGCACTACTTCTTTGCAAGTAGTCCCCAGGAAACCCTAGCTCAGCTTTATGAATTCATCAATGAAACCTCTGTCGGTGCCAGGCCAGACAGATGCTAGGAAAACAAGGTTGAAGACAAGCATGGGCCATCATCAAGTCAAGGTGGGAGACAATAAGCAAGTGAAGAGATGAATATTATGTACAAGACAACTAATGGTATACTTCACAATAAAAATGTAGCAAATTAACAGGGATAGAAGAAGATAATTACCATGTCAGGAAGGAAACAGGGTGATGAGGTGGAGTAGCTGTATAGGGTCTAACTTAGATGAAGAGGTCAGGGAGATCCTTCTGTAGGAGTCAGGGTTTTGGGCCTGTGTGTGAACTGGTATGAATTGGATTTCATGGGCTGTATGTAGGGCAGAGCCTGGCAACATCTTTTCCCCAGGGAAAGACCCTAAAGATCATGAGAAGGAGAATCTGAGGCGTATCAAGGAGATCCAGAGGCGCTTCCGCGAGCAGGAGCACAGCCGGGAACAGGGCCGGTCCAGACCCCTGAAGGCTCTGTGGCACTCGCCAAAGTATGACAAAGTGGAGTCCCGGGTCAAGGCCCAGCTGCAGGTACCTGCAGAAGTATTGTCCATCTTGTTGGCTAAGAGGCAGTTATACCCTAATCTGAGTTATGGAGAAGAAGGAAGATCTCAGGGGACTAAGGGTAACAGGAGATAGCTGTTTCTGCTGCAGGGTGGGTCTGGGGATTCTCGGAAGTGATGGCTGGGTGATCCTGAGGAGCAAGTAAGAATCAGGCAAGAAGAGAATGGAAGACAACATTCTACAGAGATGAAACTTTTACAGATAGAAGTGCTAAGACCACAGGGAGCATGAGCAGTGGAGATGCTGTATACAGTTTACTATGAAGACAGAAGAGCACAAGGTTAAGCTAAGAAGTCAGCAGGACTCACATCATAAAGGGCAACATAACCCACTTTTCAACATTTTTTTTCAACATTTCTAAAGGCAGTGGGAAGAGCATGGGCAAGGATATGGTGGTGGGATTCTGTCTTTGGTAGATAGTGGCATCATTTCTCTATGCTGGGTCTCAGGAGGAGGAGCGGGATTGAAAGGAAAAACAATAAGGTCATATGTGGATGTGTTGAAGCTGAAGCATTTATGGGTCTCCCAGGGAGTGGAAGTATGTCCAGGAAACAGATGGAGAGTGAGGTCTGGATCTCAGGAATGAAACCCAGGAGTTACTGAGGATCAGGCTGAGGACAATGAGACCTGGAAAGTGACCTTGCATTCAAGGGCTTGGATGCCAGCTGTTAATTACCTTGGTGGGGACAGAGCCAGGAAGCTTGACTAGGAAGGAGAGAAAAGGAGAGTGGTAGCTAGAGCCAGGACTGAGGAGGAGGGGTGGTTTGTTGTTTTCTTAAGGACGTGAGACACATGTTTAAATGCTGATGAGGAGAAGTGCTCCTTCAAGAGACAGGAGGCCTACAAGGCTAGAGATAGAGTCTAGGTCTTCAGATCTTGACCTCAGCCTGAGTGATTCCTCTTCTATGCCCTGCCCTTCAGGAGCCTGGCCCTACCTCTGGGACAGAGCCTGCCCACTTCCTGCGGGCGCACTCCCGCTGTGGCCCTGGGCTCCCACCACCCCGTGTCTCCAGTCCCCAGCTAACCCAACCAGGCCCCAATGCCAAGGTGAGAGAATATGTAGGGGCTGGGAGGTGGGTCAGGGATCCTTGGGGGTTCAGGGCACAACATAGTGCCATCTCTTTATCATGCTTGTCATGTTCTGCAGGGGCCAGTCCTGGGTGTGGATTTCATTGGCCACAATGCCCGCACTGCCAAGAGGGCCCCCCGGCGGCATTCCCGTTCACTTCAGATCCTGGCACAGGTGCTGGAGCAGCAACGGCAAGCTCAGGAGCACTACAATGCCACACAGAAGGGCCACGTGCCTCATTAGTAGGTCCAAAACCCAGGGTAAGGGGTGCCTGTGGCAGGTGGGAGCTGATATCTGCCCTGGGATGATCAACCCTGAGCCTGTGCATCCACAGCTTATTGGAGCGCAGGGATCTGTGGCAGCGGGAGGCTGAGGCCCGCCAACATAGCCAGCCAGATCCTGCCATGCCTCCTGGCCACACTCGCATGCCTGAGAACCAGCGGCTGGAGACACTGAGCAATCTGCTCCAGAGTGAGTATGTGGACAAGCAGGGCTGGATGGGGAACCCTCTAGGGACCATGCACCCCTGCCCAGCACTAACTGTTCCTGGGCCCCCTGTAGGCCAGAGCCAGCTGCTGCGTGAACTGGTGCTGCTGCCTGCTGGGGCAGACTCACTGAGGGCCCGGGGCCACCGTGCTGAGCTGGACCGGAAGCTGGTGCAAGTAGAGGAGGCCATCAAGATCTTCTCTCGCCCCAAGGTCTTTGTGAAGATGGATGCTTGAGCCCTTTTATAGGGGTAGTGAGGGGTGTCCTCCCTAAGGATCACTGCATAGTTGCAAAGGATAAGGTCAGGCCCCATTATAGAGAGTCTGAAGACAGGAACAGTGAGGGGAGCAATATCCCCAGAGCACTCTTCCTAGCCACTGGCAGCTGCAGAAGGGCCATCCCAGTCTCTTAACCCCTTTGTCAAAATTAAACCTTTTGTACACAGTGGAGTTTGTTTCCATAAGAGCTTTTCTTACCCTAGAAATGCCAAGCCTGGTGGTCTTCCTGTTGCTTGACTAGAGGAAGGTCTCTCTGCTTCCCTTATCATTCCTGCCTCATGTCCAGAACAGAAGGCAAGATTGTAAGATCAGGGAGGAGGCTGGGGCTGGCACACAGAAGGACCATAACTGCATTTGTAGAAAACCTTTAATGTTCCCCAGATTGATATGGCCCTGTGAGCAAGCTAAAACCCCCAATGAGGAAGTCTCTGCCATGTCCCAGCAGCCTGGAGTGGCAAGGGGCTGTTTTGTTGTGTGTCAGAGGCTGAAGCCACTACCATCTCCTTGCATGCTACTCCCCCATCCAGAGCTGGCCTGCTCCTGATCATCCAGGGAGGGCAGAGAGCTGCGGACACTGGGAAGTAGGTGGCCTGGGTGCAGGTCCCAGAATGGAGGCCTCTGAGACAGGCCATTGGAACAGGGAGGCTGGCAGTTCTCAATGACCAGATCACTACTGTCATCATCGCTATCGGGCTCAGCAGGGGGAGGCCCTGTTAGACGCCCAGATGCCCCACGCACCACATTATTGCGCTGATTGGCTGGCTTGACAGTGACAATGAGGTTGTGGCTGTTGGCGACCATCATGTCTGTCACTTGGTCCAAGGTCTTCCCAGCCACCTCAATGCCATTGACTTCGAGGATCTCATCACTGACTGCCAGCAGCCCTGTACTTTCAGCCAGGCCCCCTCGTACCAGGCGGGAGATGAAGATGCCTGGGACCCGTTCCAAGCCCTGGGGAGCTACACGCATGCTCATGCCATCTCGGATGTAGAAACCCAGGGGACGGTCGGAACCATGCTTGTGCAGTCGCACCCGTCGGTGGGTCTCAGGCAGTAGGTCCACATCTATGACTGAAGAAACCTGGCGGAAATCTTGGGGCAGGCTGATTAGCAGGGGTGGCCGGGTACGCAGGGGTGCCACTGGCCTAAGTAGGAGCCCTTTCTTGCGCCGCTGCAGAGAGTTGGAGGCAAAGGCCAGGCCGCTGGAGTCAGCTTCTGCTGCAGGAGAGGGGGGTGCTGAGATCAGAGACCCTGTTCTCTCATTTGGGCCCTTTTCCATCAGGCCCAGGCCTGAAGAAGGGGTCACTGTAGCTATCTTCTACCACTTGGAGGTCAGGCCAAGGGCAGAGACTGCAGAGAGTGAAGCCTGAGCACCCTGGGCATGAATTAACCCCTGTAGACCTGCCCTGTCACCCTATCCCACAGAGGCTGCCCACTGCAGCCCATTTTCCTCACCCCGCTTCTGCACTAGCAGGCGCAGCGGCGGGGGCCCGCTGGCCAGGGCCCGGTGCAGGCTGTCGTCGTTGGTAAGGGGCAGTAGGTCTCCGTGAGCATCTGTATAGCCAAGCAGCACGTCCAGGCCCGGGATCTGGTGCACCACACGCAGTAACCTCGAGAACTCTTGGAAGCCGCTCACCGAAGCACGGGGCAGTGCGAAGCGTCGGAACTCAGCGTCAAACTGGAGGCAAGGAGTGAGGGGAGAGGAGGGATCAGGACGGAGCCCGCGTTCTCTCTCACTACAGGTCCGAGGGTGGCAGGGGTGGGAAAGAGGGATGTCGCAACAGCTGCAATCTTGCGTCCAGACCTCAGCTCCAGTACAAGAGACGCTGTCCAAGGTCTTCTCCCCGCCCTCCAGGTAAGTCAGGCCAGAGAGGGACTCTAGAGGCCAGCAGTGAAAGGGAGGAAGATGGGTGGGGGACAGCGAAAAGAAAAGTCGGAGGATGAGACGTGGAGGATGGAAGAGAGAAAAAAGGTGGTGGGACCAAGGAGCCAGGAAGGGGAGAAGGGAATTGGAAGCACCTAGGGCTGAAGCTGGAGCAGGGACCGAAGGGGCCCTTACTTTGCTCTTCACCTCCACGATGCTGTCGGGACTGCGCGCCGGGGTCCTCTGTGGCCTGGCCATGGCGGGGCCTGGCGGGCCGGGGACGGTCCCCAGGCGG